AATAAAATTATGCAATATATATATTATAACTTATAATATATTTTTAATACCGGGTTACTTTAGGAATATCCATTAACAAGATTTGGATCTCAAAACAGATCGCTTTCTAGTAAATATTATTCAGAATACGATTGGCTACAATATAGTATAAGTAAGGACTTAGCATTTTGTTTTTGTTGTCGACATTTTGGCTTGGGAAATAATTTTCAAGACACTTTCACAGAGAAAGGCTTTCAAAATTGGAGAAAAGTATTATATTTTATGCATAGTAGTTTTATTTTACGTACTTAATTTGATTGTTCTTCAATAACTACCAACTGGTTATTACCTCTAATTAGAGATAGAAATATATGAAATATGAATATTTGTTGACTGTTGTAAATAATTTTATTTTAATTAACATTCAAATTATTAGACAAATGAAAAATTGAAATTACATTCTACCCGAAAATACCATATTGTAAGTAAATCATAATTTGAAGGCTATAAAAGTTCAAAATTACAAGGATCAGTTGTAAGTCAGTTATCAGAAGGATATAAAAAATTAATTCAAGAAAATCGTTACTACTTTTCTCAACTGATTGAAATTTTACTGTATTTGAGTGGGCAAGGTATGGCTTTTAGAGGTCACTCTGAAGAAGAAAATGCCTTGAATCAAGGTATGTAATAATTTTTACTAAAACTAAAAAATAAGAACATTGATAATAAATTATTATTTATAATATGAAAATATTAAAGGTAACTTTAAAGAAGCATGCAAATTATTTGCAAAGTTTGATCAAAAATTTTCAAATAAATACAATTGTACTACAAACTATTCCAGTTGGCTTATACAAAATCAACTCTTAAGTATCTGTGCTGAAAATGTCAGAGAGAATATTATTTTGGATGTACAAACAAATGGGTGTTTTGCATTGATGTGTGACGAAGCTAGGTAATTTAAAATTACAAGTATCTGCTATATTTAAAAACCTATAATGACTACTTAAATTGAAATCAGATTGCTTATGTTGATTCCTTATTCATTAGCAATTAATTAAATCATACAATTTGTTTTTTATTTATTAAAGGAGTATTAAAGGCCAACAGATGTCTGTATGTGTTAGATACACTGTAGGACTAGAAACTCATGAACGGTTCTTGGGATTTTTGGAAGTCTCTAGAGGGCATAATGCTGATTTTCTGGCTACCGAAATTTTGAAATTTTTAGATAAATCTGGATTAAGTCACTTAAATATAATTGCTCAATCGCATGATGGAGCGGCTGTTATGTCAGGTCATTTAGGAGGTGTTCAGGCAAAAATTAAAAAAAAATACCCCACAGCGATTTTTACTCATTGTATGGCACACCGATTGAACTTGGTTGTGGTTGACATGTGCAAATATATAACGGTATTCATTTTTTTTATAATTTAAAAAAACAAATTTAATTATAATTGTTTATTATAATTTTATTTATTTAGAGTGCAAGGAGTTTATTTAATGCGTTGGAATCAATACATATCTATTTTTCATTTCCTTCAAAAAATATTAAGCTGCAAGACATACAAAATGATTTGGGACTTAAAAATAGATCTATGACCCATTTATCTGACACACGTTAGGTTTGCAGATACAAAAACTGTGATGTTGTTTTAAATAATTTTACAGCAATTCTACAAGTATTAAATGAAGAAATTGAAGCCAATTTTGACAGGAATGTCAGTCAAGCTATTGGTAAAGTATAAAATGTGTTAATTATTTAAACATCTTAATTAAATATTAAAAAATAAATATTAATTGTTGGTGTATAAACTATAAACACTAAATAATGAATAATTTTTTACAAAATATTATAATTCTTTTTTTTTAGGTATTTATTCAACTATCACTAAAGGATTGTTTATTGTGAACTTATTTTTTTTTCATGATGTATTGATTGTAATTAATGTACTGAGCAATAAATTACAACAAAAAACCGCAACTCTAGGGAAAGCGGCCGGAATTATTAAAGCTGTGATTGAGACTTTTGAAAAAAAAAGAAATGATGATTCATTTTTGGTATTATGGAGAAAAATAAAAGAGTTTGCTGACAACCATGAAATTTCTTTAGAAGTACCTTTGAAAAGTATGTAGTTAAAGATTTTGTTTAAGATTTGTAATAATGCCTACTGTCATTATAGAATTGCACACATTTTTACCATTACTCTTGTATTTTTAGATTCCAAAAGAATAAGTAAAGAACCACACAGCTTGAAAGAATTTTATCTAACTACATCAACATCTGCCGATAATGAAAGTCTTGATGATTCTGTTGAAAAATATTGGAAAAATCAAGTATATTTTGTTATACTTGATACTGTGATAATTAATTTAAAGAAACGTTTTTCTGATGAAAGTTTGATATTGGCTTCTGCTGTAGATAACTTTTTCTTGATGAATTTTGATGAAAGTCAACCATTTATTAACCATTTCAAAGTAAAAATAAATTCCTAGCTAACAATATTGTACGTTTATAACATTGCATTACCTTGTATACAATTCCAGGGTTTATTTAATATTGAAACTGAATCACTCAAAGCAGAAATGATGGTTGCGAAAAATTGTTTAAAACAGATAAACAAAGATTTTGATTTGATACGCTTAAAAAGTATAATAGAAAAAATTGTATATCCAAATGTATACAAGTTATTACAAGTAATTTATCATTTATCAACCTTCTTTTACTTTATTATAACTAAAATTAATTATAAAATAGTAATGAAGAATGTATCAATTTTAGGTGGCACTCACACTACCAATTAGTTCTGCAACATGCGAACGATCATTTTCTGCTTTACGCAAGATAAAGTCGTGGCTTAGAGTTTCAATGGGCCAGGACAGATTAACAGATTTGTCAATTCTATATATAGAAAAAGATTTGACAAAATTAATTAATGTTAATAAGGTTATTGACTCATTTGCAGAAAAAGACAGACGTATAAATCTTGTATAAACTTATACTTAATTCTTGTTCCTGTAAATTCTAATATTTATTGACTATTGTATTAATTTTTAAAAATGGAATAAACTAAAATTTAATATTCAATGTTAAATTGTTATAAAACATTTTTGCTCAAAAAAGTCATTAATGCCTCATAGTTATAATTTAATTTTAATTTACAGAAAATGCAGAGCTTAAGCACCCTCAGTTTTTTTATTGAAATTGCGCCTATGCATATAGGCTTAATATGTAACGTTGAATAATATATACCATTTTATCGTAATAATAATAGGTATTGTTAGAGACAAAAAATATTTCAATAAAGTTGGTTTATAACTCTAAGAAAAATGTAGGTATACAAAACATTTAAATAATGCCTACGTTTTGGAGGGTATTTGGTAGTGAAGGTGCTACAAAGTTGACCGTTAATAAATTTTGACTAACTTACTGTTGTCAATAAGTAATGTAACGAACTGTGACTACGTATATAGTAATAGTATATAATAATAGTAATAATATATTAAATAATATATTATTTTATATTGCATTAGGTAAAATACGATTATAATGTATATATTATACTCAATAATAGACATTAATGCTGCAGGGAGCACGTAACCCCGATAATAGTAATAATATCAGCATCCGAGCGGCCACATCGATAAGAACTAATTAATGGTACAGCGCGAACACGTGATAGGTATACGCGCGCAATATCCATATTCTAGGAAAGACGAAAAAGCCATAAAAGTACAAATAGATTATGAAACATATAATCCGTAATTAACATATTTTCATAAAAGACGTCAGAAATGACCTCAGGCGGATGCGGCGTGTTTACCATTTTTATACTAAAAATGCCATAGGAGGGATCTATTAGGAATACCGACGAAATACGTCGATGGACAAGTGTCCATCAGACGAACACCAGCCGAGCAGACGAGCACCAGCAGAGCAGCCACCAAATCAATACTAAGTCACATCTCGTTTACCACATTTTTATAAATTAATTATTTGGACTTAGTCTATTTTACGTGTTAAATAATTACAAATAAACTATCATTTTACCATCAACTTGTTATTTTATTCAAAATTCAATCAAAACTGAGTTGAAGTAGTTGGCACGTTACAGTAAAAAATATGTTTACCTAGATGTGTATAAACAATGCTGTTGCTGTTGAAGGTGTACGGTCGTACCGAAATAACGATAGTAACGATGGTTTTATGTCGGGCAAGTCATACTAGAAAGATACTAAACTAGATCAGTATCAGTGTAATTTGCCTCATATAAAATCATGAGCAATTACCTAATAGGTAGGTATGACACGACGTTAGTAGTAAGTACAATGTACAAGCACTATAGCGACCAGTCTATCTTATTTCTAACCACCACCACGGGATGCGAAATTTGAAATCGTGTCACGGCGACTCATTTAACTTGCCCCCTTTACCACTATACAATGCCGACCAATCTACCGTATTATCACAGTGCTACTATCATTTAATACATAGATAAAATATAAAATATCAATTATATTAATATAATTATATTTATTAATTATTAATTATATAATATTATAATATATTTAATTAATGTCAATAGACAATAATGTATTCCAAAAGTCAATTTCAAAGTAACACTCACTTAGTCCACGTCAATAATGTTTTACAATAAATCAATTTAAAAATCACAACATTGACAACTCAATTAATTATATACATAAATAAACAAAAATATTCTAAATGTCATAGGTTAGGTTATTATTTGGTGTTATGTGTAGCTCCTAATCAAGGTTTATAGATAATAGAGGTTGCCTCAATTCAAAAATTATGAAAAAATGGGAGTGGGGGTAAAGTGTCCGTCACGTCACCCGTCGTACAATAATTCACTAATCGCTATCACTGCTAATAGTTTATACATTATACTTAATGCCGTGTTTGATCGAAAAATCTTGTATGCTCTGTAAGAAGTATTTTATTTTAATGTTTACCTATTTTGTAATATTATTTAGTATTATTTTGTTAACAAGTAATATTTATGGCTTCGAAGACCAAAGGTGGTTCATGTTGCGCTGTAGCGTCATGTATTGACTATTCGGGAAAAGTAAAAAATCTTGGAAAAGATATATCGTTTCATAGGTAACTATTATTATTTTTAAAGAAACTAGCTTACTCAACTATAAAATTTAAGGAAACCATACGTCATTTTATGTTAAATCTATTTATTTTACAAAATAATATTATATATTTTAATCTTTGCGAGTTAAGAATAATGATTAATCCTCAGTAATCATTAAACATTGATTGACAAAAATATTCAAATTTTTACCTTGAAGGCTTGAAATTGTTCTTTTAATATACTAAGATAATAATTTATTTTAGATTTCCAAAGGATCTAGAGTGTAAAAAAAAATGGGTATTGAAATGTAGAAGAAAGGATGATTGGAATCCCAATTCATCTTTCATATGTTCTGACCATTTTACTGCTGAAGATTATGTCCGTGATTTAAAAGCCGAACTCCTAGGTAACTATACAATTTTATTTTAGATTCAATGTGTGGCTGAGAATGTATTGTTGTTTTTCAAATTATGTACTTTTACTTTTTATTAGTTACTTTTTTATTTCATGTCTGTAGACACAATATCTGTAAACCTATAAGCTTCCTCACTCAATATACCCCAACCACACATGAAATTGAAGCTAAACAATATTTATAATATGAAATTATTGTAAACTTTTTAGGATATACTCCTAGAGTCCGATACCTTAAGCCTGATGCCATTCCATCTCTTAATTTACCAGTAGATCATACCCAAACTGATGAAGTTTCTACGTCAACATTAAACCGTAGAAATAGAATGGAATTAAGATTAAAAAACAAGTAATTGATGTTTTAATATATTATTTAAAGTACTTTTATGTATATAATTAGAATAGTTTATTATTTTAAAAGTAAATATAATTCCAGACATGGAACAAGTTACTGATAACACATATTATATTCTTAATCACTTAAAGTAGCTAAATTAATTTTATATTATAAACTACAGAAGTACCTTATTATTTGTTTATTCTAAATTATTTAGTTTTAATATAAATGTATTGTCTTTTAGTAAATCTATATATATAAAAATGAATGTATGTCAGTGTGTGTGTATGTGTGTCCATATTACCATGGCAACCATATATATATATATATATATATATATATATATATATATATATATATATATATATATATATATATATATATATATATTATTTTGAATTTTCCGATGGAATGTTTTGTATATAAATGGTTGCCATGGTGAATGGTGATATGTAAAACATATTATTCATATAAAGTTGGCAATTTTAACGGGAAATTATGTGCACGGGATCAGATATTTTTATATATATAGATAGATTAGACATCTGTGCAGAAGATATGTTAATTTAAAAAGGGAGAGGACCAACCCCGGGATCAGGTGCTCAAACAAAGATTTTGAGATTTCCGATGGAAATTTTTGTTTATAAATGGTTGCCGTTGGTTTCAAAGCTATAATAATAATTATTATTGGTTACCATTGGTTTAAAATTGTTGTTATGGTAACAGTTATATTATAAAAAAAAACATATATTATTCATATAGAGTTGGCATTTTTAATGGGCAACGAAGTGCACGGGATCAGCTAGTATTCAATAAAATGCCTTACCATTGTCCATTATATATTTCATACTTAAATCTCCCTGTTCACAAATAATAATAGAAAAATCTTCTTTATAATAATAAAATTAATACATATAATGTGGTACCTAATTTGTTGTTATAGGTTCATAATGAGGTTGTTGCTTTAGCTGTCGGTTCTGATGTACAGTCATCATCAAATATTTCAACAACTGATTTTGAAAATGAGCCAACTCAGTCCATCGATTATAAATATTTGTATGATGTACTACTACAAGAACATAAAAATGTAAAAAAAGAACTGTTTTTGCTTAAAGAAGCTGATGTAAAAAATAGAAATATAAACGAAAATCTTAGGTTTCAAATAAAAAAATTGGAGAAAAATTTAAACTATTTTTTATATCTTTTACACGACTCATATTTTACTTGAGCATAATTTTTATTACTTTTATATTATTATAATATTAATGATGGAAAATACTATGTTTAAGAAATGTAATTAATATGTATAACTATAATGTTTTATAATTGATATGCATATTCTACAAAATAAAAATTTATTTGTCAAAATTGCTGTTAAAATAATATTTATGATGTAATTCAAACAATAATATGGTCATATTAATGACCATCGTCCAGCACTATGAGAACTAAGAGCTTATACTGAAGTTTGTAGACTATAGGAAATGTCTGGTAAGTGTCCTGGCAAAGGACTGCTCAAGTTGTGCTAGTAGCTCATGGTTAAGCAATTTCTATTTCAGAATACCAATTGGTAATGAACAATGTATATTATTTAATGCGACGCGTATTATAATAGGTACTTTGCATAGTAAACTAGAGCTAATTAGATTGCTTTTTGGCAATATGCCATTATTCATTTTCATATTATTGATTTTCAATCTAAGATAATTTTAAAAGAAATATGTTTTATAAACATAGAACGGGGAATTAGAAAAGAATATTAATATACAAATATTGTATCAAAAAACAGTAAAAATAATACAAAGACTATATAATTATTAATACTTTATTAATAATTATAAACTTGTACTACGTCTACGTGTCATACAAACACTAAATACCCGCTTAATGTTGTACGACGGCCGACGGGTGACGTCACTTGATAGGGGACGGAGCGGTGGGTTTTGATTTGGTTACATCACTTTGAGGCAACCTCTATTATCTATAAACCTTGGCTCCTAATGTTTTATTTGTTTCTACACAATACCATAGTGAATGTGGCGTTTTTGGAGTTTTTGATGGCAATTGTTCTGGATTGAATGGTTTACGTTTAATTTGAGGTAAATGGCTTGATTTTAATTTTTGTGTATAACCATGTTCTGACACTCGTTTCCATTTAGTGTTTCTACCAGCAGCCAGATTTTTTCTCCCTCCAATTTGGGTTGTTCTTCTAGACCTAGCAGTGGGCTGTGTTCCAATTTGTTTGTTACCCATCAATTTTGGTTTCTTGGAGTTTGGATTTAAGCCGGAATACATCCCAAATGTTTGCATTGCAGAAGAAATGCTTGCATGGGTTTTTACATAGTTTTGAAATGAATTCACAAATGATTTCATAGATGGTAAAAAATATTCTTTATCCGAATCAAATGCTCTTTTCATTTTTTCAATTGCATCATTAAAATCGTTCATTACTTGATCATAACTTTGACTAATATCCTGACTATCAGCAGTGCATTCAATTTGATGATTTTTTGCGGTTTGTGTAATTGAACTAGTATGCGCATTTTCATTGGCATTATTATTAGTGACACATTTTGTTTCATTATCTGCTGAACCATACCATCCATTTTTAATATCTGAATTTCCAGAAGCTACAATGTGTATTTATTTTTTTTTATTTCTTCTGTTGTAGGTAAACAAAGACTTAAATCCATTTTTAAATCTAAGGCAATAACTATCTGATGCTTACATGGAAATCCAGTATTACCCTGAGTACATGAACAAATTCCAAATTCTAAATCTACATTGTGCTCGGTTTGTTTGTTTGTTTTTGACTTCAAAAATTAAAGTATTATCTATTTGTTTGTACTCCAAATTATCCTTTTCAGATTTAGAAATATTAAATTTGTTTTTTAAGTATTGTGGTTCCTGGTCTATTTGCTGCTTTATCAAAAAGTTTCATTTTATAAAACGCTTCTAATTCATTAACTATAAAAATTTAAAAATTATTTTGTAGTTAAAAATGTATAAAATATTCAACTTTTAAATCTAAGGATTGAAATTTAAAACATGGTTCCACGTAGTTAGGTTGTTCTGCTACCAAAAAATCTTAAAAACGCATATCCAGGGTTGCTACGCTACATGGAAAACCGGAAAAACCTGGAATTATCAGGGAATTTTTTATTTGTAAGGGAAATTCAGGGAAACTCAGGGAAATAAGGAAAAATTATGGAAAAATATTTATAATATTAAATCATGGTTGCCTTTATATTTAACTATGTATTTCAAACTTTATTCATTATTTATTTTTATATATTATATTTATAGAAAAATTATTTTTATATCATGTCTATTAGATAATTAATATATTAGGAACTAAAACTTGAATCAATATTGCGCTATTTCCAACCTATTTCATAACATCATAGGTATGTTTAATCTGTATAGTTAAGGCCTAATATCATAGATAATAAAGACCTATCTTTATTACCTAATATGTAAAATATAAATATTTAATGTTTTTGATATTCTTCTGTGATAACATATTATTTAACCAATATTTCTCAAAAATAGTGATGGCCGGTAACCACGATTTAAGATATACCTTAAATCGTGCCGGTAACGAATAATTTGTACTATCGATTATTTATTGATTATTCATTTATAGCGTTTTCCACCACACCGCACTAACTGCACTAGTGCATATTTTTTATGTTCCACCAGTAAAATCAATGTGCACTGAGTGGTTACTATGCCAGTTTTTTGCTCTTGGAGCCTCGTGCGCCTTATCATTATCATGATAAGTACCACAGTACCATTGTTCTATGACAGTACCCATGAAATATTTTATTATCTTTATATATCGGTAATAAGTATTGATTTTGTGTTCTATCTACACTTGCACCAGCTTGCACTCAGGACGATTACGATTTTCTCTATAGGCACAAATAGTATGACGTCACTTTGTCTATTGATAAGACTAACGGTTCAAAACACACTGTTATCAATATTCGTTCCATAAGAAATGCATAAGTTGAAAGTATTGTGTGAAAAAAATTGATTTTTTTGGTGTTTGTATTTTTTGTTAAAGTGCTAACTTCTAAAAACGTGTTCTTTACAAGTTTATACATATATAAAGACCAAAAATATGAAGCTAAACCCTCTTTTCGTTAAAACAAACAATTTGCAGTATTTTTTACCATACACCATTATACACAAATCATTCAGTTAAGTATTAAATATTGTTAATATCTTATACTATTGCAATTCATTATTTCACTATTTTCCCTCCAATTTATGCTAATGTACACAATTTTTATATTTTTTAACTATACCTATTAAAATATATTTATTTGTTGTCTTTCTTTTTGAGCTTTTCTGCTTGTACGTGTTACACCGGTGTTCTGTTTTGATCATCTGTGGGTCAGTTAAATGTCACTGGTTACCTAATACCTATCGAGCTATTTGAATTAGCACTTTATAAATATGCACCAGTAACATCAACAGACGTCGAAAGAAGTTTTTCAAGGTACAAAACCATACTGGCTGACAATCGGCGATCATTCGAGGTAGAAAATATTAAAAATAAAATGAATTGTGCAATGCAATGATTTTTATATTTCTTTTATATCTAATTTTTTTATTTTACTAAATTATAAATTAATTTTTTTGTGCATATTATCTTGCATATTTAATGAATTTGAATGCATATTTTCAATTTTTTATGTGCATATTTTTCCAATTTTACCTCCTATAACTTCTCTGCCCTAGTCATGTGCATAGGAACAGTTATCCGAATAACTATTCACAGAATTATAATCAGCGCAGACCGAATTATGGAAATAGAAACAACGGAAACATTAGACCAAATAACCCTGTAAGGACAAATAATATTATCCGCGAACAAACAATTTTTCTCAACCAATCAATAGGCCAGCAATAAAGTGCTATAATTGTAATGGTAATCATTATGCATCTCAAATGTAGGAATAATTCGAGACCTAGTTATGCGAGCAACGGCAATAACAACCGACCACC